TAACTTTTGAATCATGAAGTTGTCTAGCAGTGACTAGACTCCCTGTGGGGGGGCGGGGGGTAGAAGGAATACTACAAAGGAAGCTGTCAAAGGGCAGGAGCCCTCCAGAGGCTTCCCAGCCTTCAGGCCTTTCCTGCAGGGCCTCAGTGAAGACAAGGTCACAGTGGACTCTGGCAGAAGTGTGCTGCCATGTGACAAGGTAGCCTTTTCTAGGCTTTCGATACTAACTGAGGAGGGAAGAAAGAGGGATTTTATTCCCATCAGAAGATATCCCAACAAGAGCAGCAAGTGGTACAGAAGGGAATTTCATATTCCTGCTCAGATTAAATAATGGCAGAAATTAGCCAGGCATGGTGGCTCACACCTATAATCCCAACACTTTGGGAGGCCAAGGCGGGCAGATCACCTGAGGTCAGGAGTTCAAGACCAGCCTCACCAACATGGAGAAACCCTGTCTCTACTAATAATACAAAAATCAGCTGGGCATGATAGCATATGCCTGTAATCCCAGCTACTTGGGAGGCTGAGGCACGAGAATTGCTTGAACTCGGGAGGCGGAGGTTGTGGTAAGCTGATCGCACCATTGCACTCCAGCCTGGGCAACAAGAGTGAAACTCCCATCTCAAAAATAAATAATAAATAAATAATGGCAGAAATTGCAACAAAGAAAACTGTTAATAATTTACTCTCTAGGAAATGTAAGACCAAGACACTTCTTACTTCATAGTGACACTTCATAAATTGATTGTTCTTCCAAGAAAGATGTGGATAATTCATTTATTTTTTACATGAGAGAGTGAACTTGTCAAGGACACACAGGATTGTGGCAGCAGAGTGCATTCCAAGCTCAACTGTTGAGCATTTTCCTGTAAACTGAAGGTCTCTGGGCAGGTGAAAGTCTGGGAAATTGTATGAGGATTAGTTCAGTTCAAGAACCAATTACTGGCAATGCTGTGTGGCAAATATGGTCCTAGCCCCTAAGTCAGGGCTCCTGTCCTCAGAGGTCACAGTGTATGGGAAGAGAGCTGGGAGCTAAGAGCAGAGAAGCCTTTCTTATTAACGCTAGTCTTTTGGGTCCCACACATAATTTCCTTTCTAGCTCAGATCTCATAGAATGATGGGATTGAAACTCATTTACCTTTTCAATAGTTTTCAGAATGACAGGGTAATTGTTGAAGAAATTGGTATATGTGTTCAACTGGCTTCCAAACTTTGTGACTATTTCTCCAACACAGTGAGCTGGGCCCCATTCCTGCAGTCTGTCTCTCAGGTTATCTAGAAACTGCCTGCGGTATGGGAAAAGCATAACTATGAAATATTAATTTGTGATAACTTCTAAACCCAAATATCCATTGTCATTAGTGCAAGCATTTTCAGCCTAGTCCTTTACAGTAGGGTTTTGGTCAAGTCATTTCTTCGTAACACAGAGAAATGCATATTGGACAGGAAAGGGGAACTGGGACATGAAGGAGTAGGTTGGCGGGTAGAATCCCACCTCTTCACCTCAATTCCTTGGGTCAGAACCACACACTGGCCACAGTACAGCTGCTGCCTAATGTCCCATTCTCTTGTCTCCAGATAGGCAGGTGGGTGAAAGCTCTTACAGTATTTAGAGGAGAGTGCTCCAATGTCTTCAACAGCTGAATGCCATAACCCCTGCTTGGCCCATTTCCCCATGGCTCTAAGAAAATCCCTTATTCATCCATCACAGGCTGTGAACACGGGAAGAGGCCTAGTTCAACCTCTTCACTTGGTAGGAGCTGGGGCCCATTGAGAAGAGGGAAGTTTTTCCAAGTTACCTAGAGAATTACCATCAGAGAAGCACATACTCAGGTTGCCTTCCTTTACCATAGGCAGAAATGATCACTTTTCTCTCTCATGTTATGAACTTGAAAATACGTTGTTATTGGCTGGGCGCAGTGGCTCAAGCCTGTAATCCCAGCACTTTGGGAGGCTGAGGTGGGCGGATCACGAGGTCAAGAGATCGAGACCATCCTGGCCAACGTGATGAAACCCCGTCTCTACTGAAAATACAAAAAAAAATTAGCTGGGCATGGTGGCATGCGCCTGTAATCCCAGCTACGCGGGAGGCCGAGGCAGGAGAATTGCTTGAACCAGGGAGGCGGAGGTTTTGGTGAGCCGCGATTGTGCCACTGCACTCCAGCCTGGCACCTGGTGACAGAGGAAGACTCTGTCTCAAAAAACAAAAAAAAATATATGTTGTTATTAAATTGACCCCCAGCCTTGGGCTTTCTAAGCTAAGTGTCCTGGTGGCTTAATCCCATTAATGCTTTCTGTTTTTTTCCCATTGCTTAACTGAACATTGCTGATTAAGAATGAACATATGGCTTTCCTCCTTCCTGCTGTCTTTTGCATGAAGAGTCTATTGGTTACAGCAAGGGTTCCCAACCCCCAGGCCATGGACTGGTACTGGTCCATGGCCTGTTAGGAACCAGGCCGCATAGCAGGAGGTGAGTGGCGGTTGAGTGAGCAAAGCTTCACTGATATTTACAACTGCTCCCTATTACTTGCATTACTGCTTGAGCTCCACCTCCTGTCAGATCAGCAGTGGCATTAGATTCTCACAGGAGTGTAAACACTATTGTGAACTGCACATTCGAGGGATCTAGGTTGTGTGCTCCTTATGAGAATCTAATGCCTGATGATCTGTCACTGTCTCCCACCACCCCAAGATGAGATCATCTAGTTGCAGGAAAACAAGCTCAGGGCTCCCACTGGTTTACATTATGATGAGTTGTATAATTATTTCATTGTATATTACAATGTAGTAATAGAAATAAAGTACACAATAAATGTAATGTGCTTGAATCATCCTGAAACCATTCCCCCCACCCCTGGCTGTGTAAATATTGTCTTCCACGAAACTGGTTTCTGGTGCCAAAAAGGTTGAGGACCACTGGGTTATAAAATGCCTAGGTCCTGAACTCCACTCCCTGCACCATGGCTATGAAGGGGGGAAGGGCTGTCCTTGGGAATCAATACTGGTCGCAGTCCAGTAGGTAAGGTAACGAGGATCTCTCCACTGTAATCAAGGTCCCCAAGAGGGGCAGAGAATCACTGCACCTCCAGACCGCTTTTGAAACAACAAAGCATGGGCTTCTCAGCACACAGTGAATATTTTAAAAAGCATATATTCAGAGTTTACCTGTTGAGACTTAAAATCTGCAGAATATCAGAGAAGAGGATCTGGATGTTGGCAGCACTCAGAATTGCTCTGTTTGATGACAGTGCTGCTTTCAGTGGTGTGACGTAAACATCTCTCACAATTTCCAGCATCTGTACATATTTTCTCTCACTCTGTAAGAGTTCCCTGACAACTCTAGTTCGCTTTTCTGCTGAGTCTTTCTGGAGCATTCTCTCCTGTAGAGAAGCAGTAAGAACTCACAGAAGAAGCACAGTGATTCTTCTCAGGCTTACAGCCTCAAGAAGCCTGAAAGTCAGTGATAGAGAAGTGGAAGTGCTGAGCAGTCAGGCAGCTACATGGAAATCCCCTTTTGCTGGTTTGTGCTATGCAGGTTGAAGGGGATTTCACAGGGGGCTGTGGAGGACCTTGCTGTCCATCACTTGTCCCCAGGATCACCAAAGAGCCCCTCCCATCAGGCCAGCCTGATGCCCAAGTAGAGAGGAGATTTTTAATCTTGGATCTAAAGGAAGGCAGTTTGAAACTTTATATTTATCTGTCTGTCCATCCAAGTCCACATTAGGTGTCGTGTGCTGGTGCTGGCCATGTATGATGGGAACATGACGGAGTCCTGTCTTCATGGAGGTTACAGTCTAGTGAGGAAGCCTTTGGCTTGTCTACCCTTGTTTGTTTTCCTATTTCTTTTTCTCAGTAGTGTTTTATTGATTATTCTGCAGACAGAAGAACTGAAATGAGCTAGCCCTCTGCTACAGTTTGAATGGCTCCCTTCTAAAACTCAGGTGTTGCCAATGTGATAGTATTAAGATGTGCAGCCATGAAAAGGTAACTGGGTCATGAGGACTCCTCCTTGATGAATGGGATCAGGTACCCTTATAAAAGGGCATGGCAAAGGGATTTGGTCCTCTCTTGCCTTCCACCATGTGAGGACTCCAATAGAAGGCCCCTGACAGATTCCAGCACCTTGATCTTGGACTTCCCAGACTCCATAGAGAATTTCTGTTCTTTGTAAATTACCCAGTCTCAAGTATTCTGTTGCAACAGCAAGAACCGGTGAAGACACCTTCTCATTATCAGCTAATTTGCTTCCCCAACTGACATATGAAAAAACTGAAGCATATGCTCCTCTTTTAGTATTAGGATCTAACTTCAGTATTAAGGATACGCTTTGAGCTGTAAACCTGTCTCTCCTGTCTAGCCAGGTTGCCAGATGTGCTGCTTTCCTATGTTTCCAACTCTTGTTTTATTTTTTAATGCAGAGGCAAAAACCATACTCTGGCCTAAAGAAATTCCATACCCTGATGTTGTGTGTGCTATGTTCATATAGAGAGATAAATTAATTTTTATTGCTGGTACTAGGTAATTTTTTTCTTTTATCTGCATGTTTCAAAAGCTATAAAATGAGCATCTTTATACCAGAAAATTTATAATACCTAAATTTTAAAAACATAATGTCCTTCAATTTGAGCCTTGAATAATTAATATTTTCCCTCCAGCCCTAAGTATACCCCACACTGCCCCCAGTAAAATATGACAGTACTGCTGCTGTCACTCCTGGTGCTACTTGTGTGCTCATTTAGTGTGGACCGAAGGTGACTCCAGCACTCACCTTGGTGAACAAAAAGCTCAAGGAAGGAGTCAGAATTGCCCACATTAATTTTAAGGTGGTGGACAGGAGGGCTCCTTGGTGCAGTTTAAGATTAACAGACATATATCACTTAGTATACTAATGAAAGCCTATTGGGAATAACAGGGCTTGTCAATGAGGCAGATCAGATTCCAATTTGTCAGATGGCCAGTCAATGAAGCAGACACACCTGCAGAGTTGGAACTGGAGGCAGAAGATACAATTGATGTGTTTCAGCAGCAGACGGGAGGGGTCCACTAAAAAGAGAACCTGCTACTTTAGGCCAGAGGCTCTTCTTACAGACCAAGAATGCATTCTCAACTAGAGAACTGCTATTTGGTTCCACTACATCCTATCTACTACAGTATAGTTCTCTCTATTCTTTCATTTCCTTCCCTATTCCTCTATTGTATATAAGGTAACTGATGAATGTGCACAAGCATTTTTAAAAAAGTAGTGGCCAATGGTATGTGTTGATCAACATCAAATGGAGATGAGAAGGGGAAAAATGCTTCTGTGAAAAGACCTCCTTGTCCAGGTGCAGTGGCTCATGCCTGTGATCTCAGCACTTTGGGAGGCCAAGGCGGGCAGATCACTTGAGGTCAGGAGTTCGAGACCCACCTGACCAACATGGTGAAATCCCATCTCTACTAAAAATACGAAACTTAGCTGGGCATGGTAGCACACACCTGTAATCCCAGCTACTCAGGAGGCTGAGGCAGGAGAATCACTTGAACCTGTGAGGCGGAGATTGCAGTGAGCTGAGATCATGCCACTGCACTCCGGCCTGGGATGATAGAGTGAGACTTCCTCTCAAAAAACAAAAAAAAAAGCCTCCTTTCTCTCTCCATGGCATGCTGATTCAGCTGTTATCTTTACATTTCAGTCTGTTATTTTGCTCTCACTATTTTAACAACAGCAATAATGTATACATATATATAAATCCTTGCATACCTGTTCATTTGGAGAATGCTAATGTTTCTCATTTATCATGGTAACAGGGCAATTTTATAGCATTTTCATACATACCTCTTATATGTAGGGCAATCTGTCTTTAAGTGAGGATCAATTAGTTGATAAAAACGATTCCCAGATAGTTTTCCCTTCAAGTAAAACACCCTGTTGTTTAAATAAGTGTCTTGTTTAAAATGAAAAAAATGTGTAATGCTATGTGAGCTTCACTGAGATGAACTAACTGTAATTTCATTCACTGCAATTATAATGTAAAAATAAGAGGCAAAGGAGAACTCACTGTATTTGAAATGTTATAAATGCACTCTTTTTTTTCTTTCTTTCTTTTTTTTGGGGGCAGGGTATCCCTCTGTCACCCAGGCTAAAGTGCAGTGGTACAATCATAGTTCACTGCAGCCTTGACCTCCTGGGCTCAAGCAATCCTCCTGCCTCAGCCACCAGAATAGCCACCACAACAGGCTAATTTTTTTGTGTGTGTGTGCAGAGACAGAGTTTTGCCATGTTGCCCAGGCTGGTCTCTAACTCCTCTGCTCAAGCGATGCACCCACCTTGGCCGCCCTAAGTGCTGGGATTACAAGCATGAGCTACCAAACTCTTCTTGTTTATTTTCCAAACACATGGTCTGTACAGAATACCTATTTAGACATATCTAATGAAGTGAAAAATACATCTGCATCCCACTTAGCAGTTGGCTTACAGTTCATGTATTTTTAAATATTGTATGTGTATTTCTGTATGTATATATTTTTAAATATTGGAGTTATTCAACATTTATAATCATTTTGAACTAAGGTTTTCATTGTCAAGGCTTTTGTTGTTATCTTAAAGCCACTGTCAGGTATTATTACCAATAGATGAAAAACTCTCATATTCACTGCTCGATGGAAACACGCTCTTCCTTGGTGTTCCTAGGGATGGGTTTGGGGTGAGTGAACACCCATGCCCTTGGGTTCACAGCCTGCACTGTCTGCAGCAGATGGACACAGCCAGGATGTCTGGGGCTGGGATAGAGCCCCAAGTCTGAGCTCAGGGCTGCATAACTTAAGATTTGTCTTGCCCAATTGTCTGGCCTTAGGGAAACCATTTAACTTTTTCTTCCCCATGTAACTTTTCGTAACTTTAGTTCTTTGTAATGTGGCTAGAATGTCTCCTTTATAGGATTCTGAGAAGGAAAGGTGATAATAAATGTGTTTGTGTGTTGAAGAAAATAAAAGCACATGCAGTGCCGTGGATGACACAGGACAGGGCCAGCCTCTGCTGAGGCAGCAGCACCTCCACGCTTTACACAGAAAGACGGAGCCCTAGACGTTGGATTCATTAGACTCAACTTCTGAAGTCAGACTGTAAGTTGCTAGATTAATTAGAAACTGTGAGCCTTTGTCCATGTTCCATTTCTTTAAAAGACATCCTAGTATCATACAGGAAAGTCAGGGAGTAACATACAGATTGGTTTTACTCCAGTATATTACACTGCTATCCTTGTGGCTCAACTTTTCAGTCTGGGGCTTATTTAAAAGAAAAGTCTGCCAGCTGAATTCTCCCTAATTATATTTGAGGGGTTTTTTTTTAATCCCCCAAAGAGAAATTTTCAAGGAAAATGAAGAACTAACAAGAATAAAGGCTGAAATTTCATTGTCAGGAGCAAAACCAATGGTAAATTTACATTATGTAATAATTAGCTCACCAGATTAATCAGTGCTTCAAAATCTAAATCATTTTTGCTGAGTCTTGACTTTGTGTCCCAAGAATTGTCTTCTACACCATTTCTTTCCTGAAGATTGAATGGAAACTTGGTTATTGCAGGCAGGTCTTGGCGTCTCTGAAAACTCAATACTGTGCCCACAGGAGGCCCTCAGAAGCTATCTGCCTTCAGCCCCAGCCACAGTGTTCCCTGACACAAGGAGTTCAGTGCTTGCAAATGGGATGCCACTCTTAAATTTTATGTTTTTTAAAAATAGGCTTTGCTTCCTTTGAAGAACGTTATACTTGAGAACTAAATTCAGTGAAGCTCCCTCTTCCCTGGGGCCTCCTCCCAGGCTTAGAGGCTCGCATACATTCTTGGGTAACAGGCTTCTTTTATTTTTCTTTTTCTTGAGACAGAGTCTTGCTCTGTCACCCAGACTGGAGTGCAGTGGCACAATCTCGGCTCACTGCATCCTCCACCTCCTGGGTTCAAGTGATTCTCTTGCCTCAGCCTCCTGAGTAGCTGGCTTACAGGCACCTGCTACCATGCCCTGCTAATTTTTATATTTTTAGTAGAGATGGGGTTTTGCCATGTTGGCCAGGCTGGTCTAGATCTCCTGACCTGAGGTAATCTGCTCAGCCTCCCAAAGTGCTGGGATGACAGCACACCCAGCCACCACACCCAGCCGAGTAACAGGTTTCTGCCTCAGCTCTGCTCTGTTCCTTCTCAGTTGAGGGCAAACAGGTTATTTTGAAGATGCTAGAAGGAAAAGCTCACAAAACTCACTCCTTTTTTTTTTTTCACCAAGTGAAAATGTGTCATAAACAGTTCACATACGCTTTCAAGACCTGCACATTTAAATAAGGCTTTACTTTATCTTGTTAACTATTCTTGCTGTGGTCTCCCTAAAACTTAGCCCATTTTTTTAAAAAGCCCTCCTTCCCTACCCTTGCTACCTGCAGCACCCCAGGGTCCACGCTAGCAAGGAGCAATGGTTCTGGTCCTATGGTTATGTTGAGGGATGATGATGGTTAGTGGTTGTTACTGCTGCCTTCCTAATCAAAGATGAAACTATCAGTGGCAACCCTCAGATGTCCAGGGATTTGGCTGGAAGAATAACTTCAATTTGTAACCAAGAGTCCTTTTATCTTACTTTACTGAGGCAAAAAATGATTTTTTTTTTTGGAGCTGCCACATTGCTGTGGCAGCCTGAGCCTCTGCAGAAGAGCCCTGATCTGCAAAGCTGCTGCCAGCTAGCTCTAGTCCTAGATGGCAGGAGATCCTGCCTGACCCCAAGTGCTTCATGTCTGCTCCAGGGAGTCTTCTAATAATTTATTTTGTCCTCTGCACTTGTGGCTGTCTCAGACCAGCCTGGCATGTATCCATAAGTATGGCTTGGGCAAGGAGAGGAGATCTACTTTTTTTTGTCTTGTTTTGTTTTGAGACAGGGTCTCACTGTTTCACCCATGCTGGAGTGCAGTTGTGCAATATTGGCTCACTGCAGCCTCGACCTCCCACCTCAGCCTCCCAAGTAGCTGGGACTATAGGCACAAGCCACCATGTCTGGCTAATTTTGTTCATTTCTTTTAGAGACAAGGTCTCACTATGTTGCCCAGGCTGATCTCAAATTTAAGTGATCCTCCTGCCTTAGTATCCCAAAGTGATGGGATTACAGGCATGAGCCACTGTGCCCAGCCAGTATCTTGCACTCCAGCCTGATGGAGTGAGGCTGTCTCAAAAAACAAAAACAAAAACTCTCAGTTTGGGCCAAGATTAGCATAACCCAAACAGCACAGAATTGTATCATGAATCTCATCTTTCTCTGGGAGATCACCTGACTGCACAGGCTCACATGAAAATTTATGCATTAAAATCCAGGTGTCAGCATGGACCCCAGACCACCTTCACTATTTTAGAACCTGCTTGCTTACAATTGGGCTTTGTTTCACATTCTGGCTCAGCAGCAACTTACTTTTTTAAATATATATTTTTCCTTTGTGGAGAGGACATTGATTTGGCATAGTAACTTTGTTTGAACCTAAAACTGCCAAGTTCATTCATTTTATATTATATGTTAAATTGCCAGAATTTTTACAGCTTAATTTTAGATTCAGATGCTATCTCTTACTTGTTTTTATGGTTGAATTCAGAGAAAGCAACAGGGCAGAAACTTTGGACATTTATAAGACAACTATTATTTTGGGTTGATGGGTCTTTGCCTTGCCTCCCCAGGACGTATGAGGAAGACCATAAAAAAATAAGCTCACAGAACCAGGCTTTGATCACATGTTAGGAATTGCTCTCTAGGCAGACACTATTTTCCAGAGAAGTTCTAGTCATTGCTGATGCTTCTGCCAGCAAACACTCAGCTGCCTAGATAAGGGGACAGAAATAGTTGTGAAAATGACAGGTAGAGTTCAGGAACAACTATAATTCTGGCTACCAGCCATCACCATGTTTGCATGGTATCAGTGTAAACATTATAGGCAGACAAAGATCAAGAGTAAATAATGATTGGGCAGCAAGATGATAGGTAGGTAGATGGATGGATAGATACATGGATGGAAACACACACACACACACCACACACACACACGGCACACACACACACCACACACGCCACACACACACCACACACACACAA